TTCGGACATGTAGAGAGAATGGACGAAACAGAAAAACTTCAAGAGTGTATCAGTCTGTAGTGGAAGGAAGGCGGGGTAGGGGTCGGCTAGGAAGGGTGGAGGGGGGGGGGTAAAGGGGGTTTTGTGTGCGAGGGTTTGGGACTTCCAGCAGGAAATGCGTGAGCGTGTTTGATAGGAGTGAATGGAGACAAATGGTTTTTAATACTTGAGGGTTGCTGTTGGAGTGTGAGCAAAGTAACATTTATGAAGGGATTCAGGGAAACCGCAGGCCGGACTTGAGTCCTGGAGATGGGAAGTACAGTGCCTGCACTCTGAAGGAGGGGTGTTAATGTTGCAGTTTAAAAACTGTAGTGTAAAGCACCCTTCTGGCAAGCAGTGATGGAGTGAATGATGGTGAAAGTTTTTCTTTTTCGGGCCACCCTGCCTTGGGGGGAATCGGCCGGTGTGATAATTTAAAAAAAAAATAAATTTATATATATATTTATATATATATATATATATATATTATATATATATTATATATATATGTCGTGCCGAATATGTAAAACTGGTCAATTAGTAAGAACTCATTTAAAATTAAGTCCTTTCTAAAATTTTCTTTATACGTTTTAAAGATATATTTTTTTCATTAATGTTGATGAAAAAATTTATAATTTTGCAAAAAAAGGGAACTTAGAAAACTTACCAAAACCTTATTATAAAAAGAACAATTTATTGTAGCTAACCCAATAAGTATATTTTAGATTTGTTACAATTTTTTAATACTAAAAAACACAGTGAAATAATTTTTTTTCGTTAGGTTCAGAAGATTTTGGCGAATATTGATACACAAATTTCGCTTGTCCTTTTGGGCAAGTGAGCGTTGTATTTAAGCCAAAAGATTGCAAGTTCTGCCTATTCGGCACGACAAAATAAATATAATATATATATATATATATATATATATATATTTTTAATATTAATAAAATATTTATATATATATTTTATTTTATATTTTTATATAAAATTAAAAATTTATATAAAATTATATTTTATTAGATTAAATATATAAAATAAAATTTTTATTATATTATTATATATTATATATATAAAATTTATTATAATATAAATTTATAATTTATATATATTTTTAAAATACATACATATATATATATTTATATATAATATATATTATAAAAATATATATTTAAAATAATAATTTTATATATATATATATATATATATATAGTATAATATATATTATATATTTAAATATATATTATATATATATTATATATTATATATTATGTATTTAAAATTTATAAATATTATAATATATATATAATATATTATATATTATTATAATGTATTTTTATATATTAAAATATATATATATATATGTAGATGTTATATATTTTAAATTATATATTATAAAATATATTATAAAAATTTATTAATTTAATATATATATTTATATATTTAATATATAATTTTTAAAAATTATATATAAATATATATTGTATGATATAATATATATAATATTTATAATTATATATGTATTATAATATAATATATATTTATATTATATATATAAAAATATGTATGTACATATATTATTATATAATTATTAAATATATATAATGTATGTATATAATATTAAATATTTAAGTATGTTTATATATTATGTATGTAAAAATATATATAAAATTTTTATGTGTATATATATTTTATTTATATATATATATTTATATAATATAATGTTTGTTTTATATATATTATATATGTATGTATATATATATTATATATATATATATATATTTTTATATATATATATTATATATATATGTTATATATATAATATGTTAAAATTTATGTATTTTTTAAATTGTATTTATTTTATTATATATTATATATATTTATAAAATTTTATATTATAAAAAATTTTATTTTTTATAATATTATAATATATATAATTTATATTATATTTAATATATATATATATATATAATTTTATATATATATAATATATATATATATATTATAATATTGGGTAGAATTTTGTTGGTGGTTGTGCAAGGACCTGCCCAGTTGGGTCGGGCGGTCGGTTTTTTTTAACCGTTGTGGGATCTGATGTGGGTTTTGGCCAGCCCCTTATATGTTTCCTTTGGGATGTTTTTACTTTCATAGTGTATATTTTAATATTATATATATATATATTATTTATATTTTTTAAATATTATAATATAAAAATTTATATATATAATATTTTTATTATATTTTAATATATATAAATATATATGATTTATCACCCTTTTTTTGGGTTTTTAAGCACTTTAGTGAGGTTAACAAGTGTGGCCTTAGGGTAGTGTACAATTTAATAATTTGCATGTGCTCCTAGACAAGACTTTTACCCCCCTAATCTCCCGAATATTGTCTTAAACACTGGTGGGGTTCACCAGTGATGATTATGTAACATGACCGGAGGTGTTCTTGCAGCTCGTTGGTCGGATTACTGGGGATCACTGGTGGGATTACTGGGGATCACTGGTGGGGTTACTGGGGATCACTGGTGGGGTTACTGGGGATCACTGGTGGGGTTACTGGGGATAACTGGTGGGGTTACTGGGGATCACTGGTGTGGTAACTGGGAATCACTGGTGGGGTAACTGGGAATCACTGGTGGGGTTACTGGGAATCACTGGTGGGGTTACTGGGGATCACTGGTGGGGTTACTGGGGCTCACTGCTGGGGCTGCCTGGGCTAGTGTTGTTATTGGTCCTCACTGCTGGGGCTGCCTGGGCTACCTGGGGGTGTTACTGGGGCTCACTGCTGGGGCTGCCAATGTTAACTGGTGTTGTTACTGGGGCTCACTGCAGAGGCTGCCTGTGGCTAACTGTAGTTGTTACTGAGGCTCACTACTGGGGCTGCCTGGCCTAACTGGTGGTGTTTACTGGGCTCACTGATGGGGCTCCCTGGGATAACTGGTGTTTTTAACTGGGCTCACTCCTGGGGCTGCCTTAGCTAACTGGTGGTGTTACTTTGACCTTTCAGATCTACAAGTGGACCTGTCAGTACTGGTGGTGGACCTGTCAGTACTGGTGGTGGACCTGTCAGTACTGGTGGTGGACCTGTCAGTACTGGTGGTGGACCTGTCAGTACTTGTGGTGGACCTGTCAGTACTGGTGGTGGACCTTTCAGTACTAGTGGGGGACCTGACAGTACTGGTGGTGGACCTGACAATACTGGTGGTGGACCTGACAGTACTGGTAGTGGATCTGACAGTACTGGTAGTGGACCTGACAGTACTGGTGGTGGATCTGGCAGTACTGGTGGTGGACCTGACAGTACTGGTGGTGGACCTGACAGTACTGGTGGTGGACCTGACGGTACCGGTGGACTTGACAGTACTGGCGGTGGACCTAACAGTACTGGTGGTGGACCTGACAGTACTGGTGGTGAACCTGACAGTACTGGTGGACTTGACAGTACTGGCGGTGGACCTAACAGTACTGGTGGTGGACCTGACAGTATTGGTGGTGGACCTGACAGTACTGGTGGTGGACCTGACAGTACTGGTGGTGGGCCTGACAGTACTGGTGGTGGACCTGACGGTACTGGTGGTAGACCTGACAATACTGGTGGTGGGCCTGACAGAACTGATGGTGGACCTGATAGTACTGGTGGTGGACCTGACAGTACTGGTGGTGGACCTGACAGTACTGGTGGTGGACCTGACAGTAATGGTGGTGGACATGACAGTACTGGTGGTAGACCTGACAGTACTGGTGGTGGACCTGACAGTACTGGTGGTGGACCTCACAGTACTGGTGGTGGACCTGACGGTACCGGTGGTAGACCTGACAATACTGGTGGTGGACATGACAGTACTGGTGGTGGACCTGACAGTACTGGTGGTGGACCTGACAGTACTGGTGGTGGACCTGACAGTACTGGTAGTGGACCTGACAGTACTGGCGGTGGACCTATTAGTACTGGTGGTGGACCTGACAGTACTGGTGGTGGACCTGGACAGTACTGGTGGTGGACCTGAGAGTACTGGTGGTTGATTTGACAGTACTGGTGATGGACCTGACAATACTGGTGATGGACCTGACTATGCTGGTGGTGGACCTGACAGTACTGGTGGTTGATCTGACAGTACTGGTGGTGGACCTCACAGTACTGGTGGTGGACCTAACAATACTGGTGGTGGACCTGTCAGTACTGGTGGTGGACCTGTCAGTACTGGTGGCGGACCTGACAATACTGGTGGAGGACCTGACAATACCAGTGGTGGACCTCACATTACTGGTGGTGGATCTGTCAGTACTGGTGGCGGACCTGACAATACTGATGGTGGACCTGACAGTACTGGTAGTAGACCTGAGAGTACTGGTGGTGGACCTGACAGTACTGGTAGTGGACCTGACAGTACTGGTGGTTGACCTGACAATACTGATAGTCGACCTGACAGTACTGGTAGTGGATCTGACAGTACTGGTAGTGGACCTGACAGTACTGGTGGTGGATCTGGCAGTACTGGTGGTGGACCTGACAGTACTGGTGGTGGACCTGACAGTACTGGTGGTGGACCTGACGGTACCGGTGGTGGACCTGACGGTACCGGTGGTGGACCTGACAATACTGGCGGTGGACCTGACAGTACTGGTAGCGGACCTGACAGTATTGGTGGTGGACCTGACAATACTGGTGGTAGACCTGACAATTCTGGTGGAGCACCTGTCAGTACTGGTGGCAGACCTGTTAGTATTTAATGGTGGACCTGCCAGTACTTTTAGCAGACCTGGCAGTGCTGGTGGTGGACCTGTCAGTACTGGTAATGGACCTGCCAGTACTGGCGGTGAAAACGGCAATACTGATGGTGGACTTGCCTATGCTTGTTGTGAACCTGTCAGTGCTGTTGGTGGGCTTGCCAGTACTGGTGGCAGACCTGCAAGTACCGGTAAGAGACCTGTCAGTACTGCAAATGTACCTATCAGTACAGAAAATGGACCTCTTACCTCTGGTGGAGGTCGTCCTCCACGGCTCTCACACTCGAGAGTGAGGGTCATCCCTGCTGTAGCTCGCAGGACTGGAGGCTTAACCCTGGGTGGGTCTGGTGGCACATAGACAGTGAGACGCACTGGGTAGGACCTGATGCCTGCCACTCCCTCGCTGGCACTCACTTGACACTGATACAGCGAGTCATCTTCCAGTAGCACCGGCTGGATCTTCAGGCTGAAGTCTCCTGTAGGAAGCAGATAGTCAATTGCTTGAATGTGGTACTGATTCTGTTGACCTCTTGCTCGGTTTCAGACCAGCCTAATAAATTACCAAGGAAATATTACTGCATTAAAAACTGTTTAACACATTTACAGACACAGTTTAATGTCAATGTTAGTAAAAGTTTGCAATATTTACCTCTAGTCTTATTTAACAGACAGAATATCTTGTCCAAGTCTGGAGTATGACATACACTGGTGGATCCCACCCTCCAGTGACACTGCATCTGCTGCACCTCATCTGACTCCAGTATATAAGAGTCTATGTTCCTTTACTGCAGAGCACTGCTTACTCACGATGCATTACTCTAACAGAGTAAAGATCAAACCAGCGAGTGGCACAACCAATGAGTCGTCCAAACTAACACTTGCAGCTGTCGTTAGTGGCAGGCTGCAAGTCAAATGTAATGCGATTTTATCGCTCAAGGAGGCCTTTGTTGTCGTCTGTACAGACGACACAGAGGCTGAGAAACTACTTACCACTACTGCTACTACCACTCTACGAGACCAGGGATTTCTTGTCTTGACTTCCCTAGCACTGAGGGCCAGGAGAACTGTGTTCCTCAAGCGACTCGACAACCTTATCACTGTACAGGCCACTGAAGAAAATCAAGTCATCTATCGAAGCAGAGAGCCCTTGGGCCAAGGTGGACTTCATTACTAAAAACCCAATGCTTCATCCATGCTGAAGGTCACCTTTAGTGACGTCAACATGGCAGCCAGAGCTCTCGCTGAGGGCCTGGCTATTCACTACTTTCACATCAACCCAGCCTTCATCGAAGCAGAGAAATTCCAACATATCTCACAGTGCTATAATTGCTACTCATACTTACACACCACAAATGATTGTCCTACCAAGGACAAGAAGTTTTGCTCCACCTGTGGCCGTGAGGGTCATGACTTCAAGAATTGCACTACTGCTTCACCACCTAAATGCTTGAACTGCAGGAATGACCACCATACTCTTGCTGCCAGGTGCCCTACCAGAAGAGACATACTCAAGAAACAACAACAAAAGAAACCCAACCCACAAGCAACCACATATTCTGCTATCGCCAAGTTTCAAGCAGACAATACCAAGATACTACAAGCCACGCAAGCTGCTCCCACCACTTCCCTGCCAGCACCTACTGCCGACTCCACCAAGATTCTTTATTGCATTATGTATGCTCATGTACAGAATGCAGCTGAGCCTGGTTCCTTCAACACCACCATCAATGAACTTTTCAAACTAAATAATATGCCTGGCCTCACATTCCCTGCATCATCACCTTCCACTGAGATCCTAAAATCTACTGCAAATATTATCAGCATCACCGCTGCTCCACCGCTGTCACAACCTCCACTAGACACAGAGATGGACCAATCAGAGACCACTGAGACGTCGGCAAACTCCACCAATGAGAGTCCGCTACCGCTTGCATCCACTGCTAGAGCAACTGACCAGTCGGAAATCTCGCCTTCACCAGTTCAGCCACCAGCCAAGAAAGCAAAAACACAAGAAACTGTGGATGCACCTCATGGTGCCTCTGCCACTGACACTGCTGCACCACAACAAGTCCGATACCTGAAGGGTGTATACTTGTACACAACCAAGCAGTATAAGAACAGAATGCTGTCTTCAGAAATCCATCAGCACCTCCAGGACGGATCAGTCAAGTATACCTACGACCAAACTGTTACATACACCACTGCAGACATGACAGACTACTCACTGCCAACACCCAACACCTTGTGGAAGTCGAGTACACCTCAAAGAGGAAATTCAGGATGCTTCAGAATGGGGACCTTGAAGACGGTACCCTCCTCTAGCACGACTATCCATGGCCATTCACCATGAAGATAAGTTTCCCCAGCACTTTGCTGTCCACTAAAGCTGGGGTGTGGCTCCAATCGACCCTGTAACTGCTGCCTCTGCCCGACTGCGCTTCTCTTCCACCCTCCAACCGGAGGGCCAAGAAAGAAGAAAGAAGATGATCGTCACCCCCCACCCGGGGGGCCACTGCCGGGTCACCATCTGGAGAAGACCCGGGCCGGAAGTATCGGCGAATCAACATGAAAACATGAATGAATGAATGAAAATGAACAACACACAACACTCCACACAGGAGAGCACAGCGCTAGCACGATCGACACCATGCCCTGCCCTTCTAGGGCTGGGTTGGTGCTAGAGCCCGAGTTTGTAGCTCACAAGATGAGGGGGGTACTTGTGCCTCCTCCCATGGGAGACTTAGGTCTCAGACACTCCCTAGACAGGGAGCCAGTGCCGGGCCACTACTTGGAAGGGCCCGGGCCGGGAGAATACCGGCGAATCTTTAACAACAACAACATCCTTTACTGCATATTAATCAAGACAACTGTGTTCAACACCTGCTCCTAGGCGATGGCACTGGTTATCACATCTACTCTTGTCTATATATAATTCTGCGAGAATGAGGGTTTGATTAAGTCTTACTGTCGTCCGTCTGTTTATCTTTATTTTATAGATAAGGCCAATGGATGGCGAAACGTCTACATAATAAAGACATCCAGATGTTGCACATGTGTTTAATTCATAAACTTATCGGTTTTGCATACTATTGAGATATTGTGTTATTTAGGTTATCTTAGGCTGCTCGTTTATATCTTTCTGGTATGTTTTTCTCTTTGATACAATTTTTCTTTTAAACCGGTTCCATATTTCCTTTACATTACTTGTAGTTCGATCCGCATAACTTTACTAATATCTGCGCACAGCTAATAAAAGTTAGCTACTCTGTAGCTGGGAACACTCAGGATGTTACCTTGAATATCAAAGATTGTATTTTGACTCGAATCACGTGATCACTCCTTCCTAGTCTCTCTCCTGCCCTACGTGACTACAAGGTGACAGTCTGTGGTCAGACTACCAATAGTCAAGGTGACACACCCATTTAAAAAGTTGAGCTTAAAGAATCTGAAGCGTGGAAAGAGAAATAGAGAGAGATAGAGAGCGAGCTTGGGTCATTGTTATGGAAAGACTACATCAATGACCTTCTCATCCCAGAATCCCAAGCATATACGGACGACTGTACTTTGACATTTACTTAACCAAGAGGGAGGAACTGCCAGATGCTCTGTGTTACATCAATCATCAGTTTACGGCTGTATCATCCTGGGGTAAACGGTGGCAGGTAGCATTTCCTCCTGAGAAAACACAAATGATGATGGTCTCTAGACATCATGATGGTAATGCTGGAGCAGTGGTAAAAATGAATGGGAGAGTGTTGGTACCCGTGGACGAAATGTGAGTCCACAATGACGGTGAAGAACCACATTGTAAATCTTGCAAACAAGGCGGACAGGAAGCTTACAGTACTTCGACGTATCTCACATCTGCTCGATAGTAGAGGTTGCAAGATTCTGTACGAGGCACAAACGCTCTCACTTCTTAAATATGATCCACTTTCATGGACTGCCTGCAATCCAGCTCGTCTGTGACTCCTTGACGGAACAGAGAACAGAGCAAGACGACTCAATTCTTGCCTGGATCCAGCCTGGATAGATCTGTCAATTCAAAAGAGCCCTTAACACCGGAGGGATGTGGGTGGATTTACTGTTCTGTACACGACCAATATTGTCAAAATGCACTTGGCTCCGCTCCAAGGACAACGAGAAGTGAACTTCTACACAACAAGACGGGCAGCAACTTCGTTGTGACTGTACCCTTCTCCAGGCCATCACTTCATGAGAAATAATTTTTACCTAGGATGACTCGATTCGTGAACATGTTCATACAGCATAATGATATCAACGAGATATGGTTAGTCGATAAAATGAAATTGCTGACCCACAGTTGGCTCCAACTGCATCCTGTCTCATATCTGTATGTTTCATAACCATAAAAAGGTTTTCACAAGAAATGATGTAAGCAAAACTGTGTAAGAAAGAGAGAGAGAGAGAGAGCGAGAGAGAGAGAGAGAGAGAGAGAGAGAGAGAGAGAGAGAGAGAGATGAGAGAGAGAGAGAGAGAGAGAGAGAGAGAGAGAGAGAGAGAGACAGACAGACAGACAGACAGACAGACAAGCAAAAGGAACCAACAGACATAACGTGACAAACGAAGGGGACAAGTAAAGCAAGAAAGCTAAAAATAAAATTCTGAAAAAATCTGAGGGCAGAGGGAAAAATAATTAAAGTTAACCGTGTGTGTTATGTATGAGCAGCAAGTGACGGTAACTTATTGTAAAGTAACTCTGAATGTTACTATGTGTTATGTATCAGCAGCAAGTGAAGGTAACTTATTGTAAAGTAACTCTGAATGTTACTATGACAGAATTATAGAGGAAGATGAGCGAGGGAGGAGGTGAAGGATAACTTGATGGAAGGGTGAATGAAAACTTGACGGGAAGGTTAGGGATACCTTGATGGAAAAGTGAGAGAACTTGATGGAAGGGTGAGAGACAACTTCATGGAAGGGAGAGGGGCAACTTGATGGAGGGGTGAGTGACAACTTGAAGGAAAAGTGAGAGATAACTTGATGGAAGAGCGAGGGAGAACTTGATGGAAGGGTGAGAGACAACTTGACGGAAGGGTGACAGAAACTTGATGGAAGGGTGAGGAAGAATTTGATGGAAGGGCGAGGGAGAACTTGATGAAAGGATAAGGGAGAACTTGATGGAAAAGAGACACAACTTGATGGAAGGGTGAGAGACAACTTGATGGAATAGTGAGAGACAACTTGATGGAAGGGTGAGGGACAACATGATGGAATAGTGAGAGACAACTTTATGGAAGGGTGAGAGACAACTTTATGGAAGGGTGAGGGACAACTTGATGGAAGGGTGAGGGACAACTTGATGGAAGGGTGAGGGACAACTTGATGGAAGGGTGAGGGAGAACTTGATGGAAGGATAAGGGACAACTTGATGGAAAGGAGACACAACTTGATGGAATGGTGAGAGACAACTTGATGGAAGGATAAGGGAGAACTTGAGGAAGAGTGAGGGACA